GTCTGCGCAGAGCCTGCCGCTGAGGCTGCTCCTGGTGACGTACGTCTTGGTTGTCCGGCAGAAGCGCGCGGTGCTTCAGCGGGCGTCGCCGTCGGCCTGTGCTGGCCTGGCGGTGGTGGTGTGAGAAGCGTAGTATAATCAGTGTGGTCGGTCAGTAGAGACGTCCAGTTTGTCATGTCCCCGTGCATTTGGTCAACTTGTTGGCGTACGGAGCGTAGATCGTGCTTCGACGAGCTTACCTCCTCGTCAGTGTCCCGAGAGCGCTGGGAATACCGATGAGGTCTCTGCTCGCATGCTCGGAGACGGACGTTGCGTGCCTCCATCTCACTTTCCAAGCGCGCGAGGAACTTCTCAACGCGTACCTTTTTTCAGCATCTCTGTCCCGAAGGGCCTGGGAGAGCTCAAACTCCGCGCGGTCCGCCGCCGTCCTAATTTCCTGCAACCTGTCAGTGAAGGGGGCAAAATCGTAAACCGAAGGAGGAGATTCCAGCTGGCCAGTCTGGGCTCGTCCAACACGCAACTCTGCCAGGGCGTCCTGTACTCCAGGTAAACGCTGCTCGATCACAGAGATTCGGTCAGCGAGGGGCTGCACAACAGCGCTGGTCGCATCAAGCCGTTGAACGAGGATTCTTTCAGTATTCTGCAACACTCCGAGCAAGGTCGAAGAGTTAGCACTTGCTTCAGCGCGAAGCGTAGCCGTAGTATGTTCCACGTGCGATTGAAGATCATTGATCCGGAACTGGACGTCGCCGAGGTCATGCGCCTCGGTCGGAGGAGGTCGATAGCGCAGCTGATCGTGGATCTCGTCGTGCAAGATCCTGACCGCGGACACGCCCGTGTCGCGGGCGACGACAAGCTGCTGCTCCATCCGCGCAAGGTAGTCGCGCAGGTGGTCGACCGTCGCGGACCGTTCACCTGAGTGTGACACTTTACGGTCAACCTGATACTGCAACTCACCTAGGATTCGGCGATATTCGGCGATCCTCGAATCGATGATCGCTAAGGCGCCGTCAAACTCTTGGCGAAGCGCAGCAAACTGTGCAGCGTTCGTCTGAACACTCTGCATTAGTCCAGAGTACTGCCTGGACACGAAGGTCTCAACCTGGTCTCGAAGCTCAGGGAGGTCGCCTGCAGCGGGCGTCGCCGCCGGCAGGTCGTCTGAGAGAAAGAGGTGTGGGGCGTCAGCCCCCTGTGGCACTCTCTCGCGAGGAGTGCGCAGCCTCTGAAAGGCCGCACGCGAGCTCGACCTGCGCTCGTCGTAGGGGCCCGCGGCCCCGCGACGGTTGCGCTGAGACGAGCTGCGGCTAGGGCCGTACGCGTGCGGTGTCTGATGAGATGATGATACCTTGGGGTCCTGCGTCTGCGGCTGCGCCGCCACTGGTCTTCCGAGCTCCTCGAATGATGTCACGCGCGCCGACGCGGGGACGGCGGCTGGACTGGCTGGGCCAGCGCCACTGTTCCACCGGCGGGATGCGCGGAAGCGCCCAGGAGTAACGAGACCAGCGGGGCTTGCGCCCGACGCAGTAGGGACTGCTCCCGACGAAGGGCAGAGGAGATATAGGATCGAAGGTGGGCGTGCTGGTACTAACTCCTCCTACGCCTGTTCCTGATCCTCCTCCTGCCCCCCCTTGGACATCGATGCGACGAAGTTCCGCCGCGAGACGCGCCTCGGGGCCGTCGGAGCTGGGGGGGGGGGCATCGGGGACACCCGCACGGTCACCTCCAAGGCTCTCCACAACTTCACTGAGCCCACGCGCCGTCGGAGAGCTCGCACGCGGAGCCGCGGCGGACCCCTTACGGCGGAGCCGCCGCGGCGGACCCATCGCGACTGCGTGCGAGATCGCGACGCGGGGTTCGGTGAATGGTGAGCTTTAAGAGCTGATGACCTGCGCATGGGGTGAGAATACAAAGGCACAGAACCCCCCGATCCGTAGGTAGAGGAAGGGGGGAAAGATAAGGAGATGTCCTCCTGTGTCACCAGCGTCCTGGTCTCTTCCAGTACCTGAGCCGATAAGGCAAGCAAAAGGGCGAGCGAGGAGTAGAGATGAGGGTATGAGACGGGTTCCTTTCACACCTCGAGACCTCGCCGCCCCTGGGGGGCTGCGATCTGTGCAACTGTCGCCACGTTCGTGGGCTCCTGGGAGGCCCAGCGGAGGCACGTCCCACGCGGACCACCTCGAGACCTCACCGCTCCCTGGGGGGGGTGCGATCTGCGCAACTGCCGCCACTTCCGTGGGCTCCTGGGAGGCCCAGCGGAGGTGCGTCCCACGCGGACCACATCGGTAACTCGCCGCCCCCTGGGTGGCTTGCGATCTGCGCAGCTGTCGCCACTTTCGTGGGCTCCTGGGAGGCCCAGCGGAGGTACGTCCCACGCGGACCGACTCGGGACCCCGCCGCCCCCTGGGGGGCTTGCCACCTGTGCAACTGTCGCCACATTCGTGGGCTCCTGGGAGGCCAAGCGGAGGTACGCCCCACGCGGATCACCTCGGGACCTCGCCGCCCCCTGGGGGGCTTGAGATCTGCGCAAGTGTCGTCCATTTCGTGGGCTCATGGGAGGCCCAGCGGAGGTACGTCCCACGCGGACCGACTCAGGACCTCGCCGCCCCCTGGGGGGCTTGCGATCTGCACAACTGTCGCCACGGTCGTGGGCTCCTGGGATGCCCAGCGGAGGTACGCCCCACGCGGACCGACTCAGGACCTCGCCGCCCCCTGGGGGGCTTGCGATCTGTGCAACTGTCGCCACGTTCGTGGGCTCCTGGGAGGCTCAGCGGAGGTACGTCATACGCGGACCACCTCGGGACCTCGCCGCCCCATGGGGGGCTTGCGATCTGCGCAACTGTCGCTACTGTCGTGGGCTCCTGGGAGGCCCAGCGGAGGTACGACGCGGATCACCTACGTCCCACGCGGGCCACCTCGGGACCTCGCCGCCCCCTGGGGGGCTTGCGATCTGCGCAACCGTCGCCACTTTCGTAGGGCTCCTGGGAGGCCCAGCGGAGGTACGTCATACGCGGACCGACTCGGGACCTCGCCGCCCCCTGGGGGGCTTGCGATCTGCGCAACTGTCGCCACTTTCGTGGGCTCCTGGGAGGCCCAGCGGAGGTACGTCATACGCGGACCACCTCGGGACCTCGCCGCCCCCTGGGGGGCTTGCGATCTGCGCAACTGTCGCCACTTTCGTGGGCTTGGGAGGCCCAGCGGAGGTCGCGGATCACCTCGGGACCTCGCCCCCCCTGGGGGGCGCGAGGCGTTCGTGGGCTCCTGGGAGGCCCAGCGGAGGTACGTCCCACGCGGACCACCTCGGGACCTCGCCGCCCCCTGGGGGGCTTGCGATCTGCGCAACTGTCGCCACTTTCGTAGGGCTCCTGGGAGGCCCAGCGGAGGTACGTCATACGCGGACCACATCGGTACCTCGCCGCCCCCTGGGGGGCTTGCGATCTGCGCAACTGTCGCCACAAAGTGTGATGTCGGACGAGCTGCGTTAAGACGTCTTCTGTTCAAAATGGGGCTCCCGCTCTAGACATCCTCGAAACTAGCGAAATGGGGCTCTCGCTCTGGACATCGCTCTGTTCAAAATGGGGCTCTCGCTCTGGAGACGTCGAGGGAGCTTGCGAACTAGACGGCCCAAAAGAGACTCAAGAAAGCTCAAAGACTGTTTAGACTATTCTCGCGACCGCGACCTTTTGATTCCACTGTTGGGTGCTTCTCTTTGGGTTCGCTGCCGCGCCCTTCTGTCTCCACTTCTGGATGGGTCTCCACCCCCGTCATGCACCTCATGCATTTGCCCCGCTCAGCGCAACGCGTTGCTGAGTTAAACTGATGTTCTGTTTTAACCCTCGCCGCCGCGCCCTTTTGTGTTCACTTTTTGGGCGCGTTTCTTTCAACGCCCCTGTGTTTCCATTATGTATATTTGCCGTTCCTCTTCTTGCTGCGCTCTTTTGAAATCACTGCTGGGTGCTCTTCTTGCGCACTGCGGGTCCTTCAGAATGCCAGTCAGCACTGGGTGGTCCTGAGTAGAATCGCCACATGTAAAGAAAGGGTCGGGTACGTCACAAGGTACTTTCATCTCGTGGGGGACTCGGGGGAGGGCCGCTGGGGTGCCGCCGCCCGCGCGGCGCGTGGCCGAGTTCCGGCCGAACTCGCCCACGCGGGGCGCGGACGGGTGCGCTGTGACGGAGCCGCGGAGGAAGGTCGCCCCCCCCGCTCGTCATCCCCCCGCGCTCATCTTCGCGTGGGGGGCTCGGGGTGGGGGAGGGTGCACTGGGGAGGGGGCGCACCCCGTTGCGGCCAGGCAGGCCCGCGGCTAGGGCGTTGCGGGGGGGCCGCGCGCGCCCATCCCACACCCCATGGCGGACGGGGGCGCCGCGCTCCCACGTAAAAGGCCCCCCCTGGGGCAGCGGCGCCTCCCCAAGGCGCGGGACCCGAAGGCCCAGGGGGCGGATGTTTTCCCGCGCTGGGGGGTCGCCCGGCCCCTCGGGGACCCCCCGGGGGCCGTCCAGAATAACATAGTCCGAAACATAGTCCTCCTCCTCCTCCTCCCTCCTCCTCCTCCTCCTCCTCCTCCTCCTCCTCCTCCCCTCCTCCCTCCTCCTCCCTCCCTCCTCCCTCATTATCCCTCCCTGGTCCCTCCCTGGTCCCTCCCTGCCTGCTCCTTCCCTCCCTCCCTCCCTTCCTCCCTCCCTCCTCCGTCCCTCCTCCCTCGTCCTTCCCCTCTCCTCCTTCCATCCCTCCCTCCATCCACTCATCCTTCCCTTTTCCCTCCTCCCTCCCCCCTCCCTCCTCTGACTGGACTCCTGCACTGACCACTGCAATTGCAACTCCCTGCAACTACACTGCACCAATGCTCGCACGAGAATGCTACGTGCTTTTCACACCTGCCGCACCCCACTGCAGTGTGCGCGTCTGGAGGCTCCCCCCTCCCTCCTCCCTCATCCTCCCTCCCTCCCCCCCTCCCTCCCTCCCTCCCCCTCTCTCACCTCCACCCTCCTCGCCCGCGAAAGCGCCTACTGAACTCCTGGCTCTGCTCCGAGCCCGTCGCCGCTCCGGCGAAGGCGCCGTCATCCTCCCGCGGCCGGGCGCGGTCTCGAGCACCTCTCTGGGCGCCGTCTGCCGCTGGCGGCAGGGGGAACGAGGGATTGGATCGGATCGGATCGAATCGGCCATCCACGGAAGCATGGTACACGACTCTGACAGCCTGGGGGGGCAGCACGGCCCCAAGAGGAAGCGAGGAGAAAAGAGGGAGAAGGGAGGGAGAAGAAAGGGAGGAGGGAGGGAAGAAGGAGGAGAGAGGAGGGAGGAGGGAGGAGGGAGGAGGGGGGAGGAGGGAGGAGAAGGGAGGAGGGAGGGAGGGAGGGAGGGAGGGAGGGAGGGAGGGGGGGAGGGGCAAGTTAGGTGCGCTCGCGTCAACATCTGACATCCTACCCCTCCCTCCCATCCCTTACCATGGCGCTGATTTTCTCTATCCGCGGACGCGTGTCGTAGCGGACCTGTGGCTCCGCGCGCGTGTGCGTAGTGGGTGGTGGTGCGCGTGCGTGCGTGCGTGTGTGCGTGGTTGTGTGGTTGTTGGTGGTGGTGTGTGTGTATGTGTGTGTGTGCGTGTGTGCGCGTGTGCTGTGGTGTGACGTGGTGTGGCGTCTTGGTGGTTTGGTGGTGGGCCAGGTGCGTACGTGCGTGATGGCGGTGGTGGTGGTGGCGGTGGTGTGTGTGTGTGTGTGTGTCTGTGTGTGTGCGTGTGTGTGTGCGTGTGTATGTGTGTGCGTGCGTGCGTGCGTGTGTGTCTATGTGTGCGCGCGTGTGATGTGGTGTGACGCGGTGTAGCGTGGTGGTGGTGGGTGGGGTAGTGCGGTGGTGGTGGCGGTGCGCGGTGGTGGTGCGCGTGCGTGCGTGCGTGCGTTGGTGGGTGGAAGTGGCGGTGGGTGTGCGTGCGGCGGGGCGGGGCGTGGTGCGGCGCGGTGGTGGCGGGCGGATGGGCGCGCGAGAAAGAGGCCCGCGCTGGGGCGAGAACGCCATCCTGAACGACGGAGGCAAAACACCGATCCGAAAATGAGGCCCACGCTGCAGCGGGAGCACGATTCGGAACGATTCGGGAGCAGAAATGAGGCCAGCGCCTCAGCGAGAGCAGCATTTTGAAAAAAAAACGCAGGCGAAAACCCAACTCCCGGGAATCCTGTGTGTAAAAAAACAATACGCGGGGGGGGTCGGCTACTCCCAGCACTCCATCAGGGGAAGAGGGAGAGTAGTATTCATATTGAGTAATTGTGGAGGGGGGGAGTGAGAGAGGGAGAGAGGGAGGGAGCGAAGGATGCCGCGACTGGCACTCCGCGAAGCACAAGGAACTCACTGGCTTCGCGGCGCCCACGGAGCAGGCCGTCCCAGCCTGGGACCGCCGCCACCCCCGCACGGGTGAGCTCCAACAGGCAGTGCTCGACCTTTCCACTAGCGACCCGGCCAGCGGCCGCCAGATCTTCATCAACTGGAGCATCACCTGCGTACACTCAACCTACGCTCCACGCAGGGGTGCCCGGGCCGGGAGAGACGGGCTGGCGGCCGCGCAGGCGGTGGAACAGAAGCGCGAGCGCTACCCTCCGCACGGGAGGAGAACTGGTCCCTTTTGTCTTCGAGACAGGGGGCCGGCCCAGCGACGAAGCAGCCAATTTTGTCCGCATTACCGGAGCCGGTTTAGACCACACCAACCGCTCCGAGCTGCTGGGTGGCCTCTGGCGGCAGATCAGCACGACCCTCCAAAGTGGAAATGCTGAGATGCTGCTGAGCGCGCTCGGGCGCTAAGCCCCATGGCCCCCACGACAACGACCAGCGCCAGCACGACAGCCGCTGCGACAAACAAAAGCACTACGACCAGGACAACGGCGGCTACCACCAACCACTGCGGCCACCACCACCACCGCCACGCGGGGGCCACACCTAACAGCCACCACGACCACCACCAGCAGACCGACCACACGTACCAGCCACCACCAGCATACCCACCACACCTACCAGCCACCACGACCACCACCATCACGACCACCACGACGACCACCACCAGCACGACCACCACGACCACCACGACCACCACCAGCATGACCACCACCACCACGCCGACGAACGCCGCCGCCCCCCGCCCCCCTCTCCATTCCCCCTCCTTCCCCTTCCCCTGCCGGGAAGCCCTTGCCGAGGCGCCTTCTGTGCGACCGTCCCCTCCTCCCTCCTCCCCGTTCCTGATTGTCCTGAATTTTCCTTGCCCCCCCCCGGCCTGTGTCAGGGGCCGTTGCCCGCAGGCCGTGGGGGTGTACAGTGCTGACGTTAACCGCGCCCTCACACGCCTGACCCTGGTGGCCACCGATCCTAGGGAGGGAATGAGGGGTAGGAAGGAGGGAGGGAGGTGGCGGAGAAGGAGGAGGAGGAGGAGGCGGAAGAGGCGAACAGCGGGGATATTGTGCAGTCCCTCGGAATTCCAATAACAAATACGAGCTTCCACCCCTCCTCTCCACCATTATCACTCTAGTAAGTTTGCTCATTAAATATACATTTATATAACTGTATGTATGCATATATGTATGTATGTATGTATGCATGCATGCATGCATGCATGTATGTATGTATGTATGTATGTGTGTATGTGTGTATGTATGTATGGATGTGTGTATGTATGTATGTATGTATGTATGCATGCATGCATGTATGTATGTATGTATGTATGTATATGTGTACGTATATATGTATGTATGTATGTATGTATGTATGTATGTATGTGTGTATGTATTTATGTATGTATGTATGTATGTATGTGTGTGGATGGATGGATGGATGGATGGATGCATGCATGTATGTGTGGATGGATGAATGTATATGTGTATGTATGTATGTATGTATGTATGTGTGTGTATGGATGTATGTATGTATGTATGGATGGATGGATGTATGTATGTATGTATGTATGTATGTGTGTGTGCATGTGTACATATATGTGTGTATGTGTATGTATGTGTGTATGCATGTGTTTATGTATGCGTATGTATGTATGTATGTATGCATGCATGCATGTATGTATGTATGTATGTATGGATGTAGGTAGGTAGGTAGGTAGGTAGGTAGATAGGTAGGTAGAGGTAGGTAGGTAGGTAGGTAGGTATCGCTCTCTTCCTCTCTCTCTCTCTCTCTCTCTCTCTTTCTCTCTATGTATCCCTTTGCTTCCTCTTTGGCGAGCATGGACTGCATACCTGGGACGCGCAAGCCTGAAACGTGCATGCCTGGCAGGGCCTAGCAAGGACTGGCAAGATTGGCAGGGACCAACCGTGCTCACGAGGGGCGAGCAGGGCTTAGCAAGCCCGATCAAGAGCCAGCAAGTCTTAGCAGGCCTTGGCACTGCTGATCAGAGCTTATCGGGGCTTGGCAAGTCTTAGCCTTGCTTAGCGAGGCCAAGCAGGGCAGTGGATTATCGCCGCAAAACAAACCGTATCGGGGCGAGCGCAAACGATGGCCTAGGAGGACCTAGCAGGGCTTAGCAAGTGCTCGTTAAGCTTCGCAGTGCCCGGCGGGCCATAGCAGGATTTTGCGGAAGCTATCAGAGCCAAGCAGTACTTACCATAACTGCGCAGGATGTAGCATACTGTAGAATGGCTCAGAAGGGCTTACCATGCCATGGCAGGTCTTCGCAAGCCTTAGCACGGCCTAACAAAGCCTGCAAGGGCTGAGCTCTATCGCGTTGAAGCAGGGCATACAAATAGTAGCAGAGCTGTGCAAAGGCTGGCAAGGCTCATCAGGGCTTGACAGGGCCTAGCCTGACCGACCACTGTGTAGCAGTATTCAACATAGCTTCTTTCCATGCCTAGCAGAGTTCACAACGGTCCGCAAGGCGTTGCAGGGCTCAGCGGGGCGTGTCAGAACCTAAGGCTCAGCAGGGCTTCGCCGGGCCTGACAAGACATGTCAGAAGTTAGCAAGGCCTAGCAGTCCCCAACAGATCCTGGCACGGCTTAGCCAGGCTCTACAGAGCCGAGCACGGCTTGGCATGCCCGATCCGTGATTAGCAGGGTACACCTGGGTCTGGCAGACCTTAGACGGGCTGAGCATGGCTGAGCCTGGCTACGGCCAAGGCTTGTCAGGACCTAGCAAGGCTCAGCAAGAGGGCTTCGCAGGGCCAGGGAAACTTAGCAATGCCTAGAAGAGCCTAGCACGGCCTGGCAATGCTCGACAAAGCCGAGAAGGGCTTGGCAGGCCAGACCAAGACTTAACAGATCACATATGGGCATGGCAGAGCTTAGCAGGGCCTCGCATGGCTGGGCAGGGCTACTCATGTCGCACCAAGTCTGGTCAGAACCCAGCAAGGCCCAGCAGGGCTCTGCAAGGCCTAGCAGGGCTTTGCAGGGCCCAAGAAGCTTAGTAAACTTCAGCAGTGCTTCGCAGGACGTGCCAGGGCACAGCAGGACTGAGCAGAGCCGAACACTGACTAACAAACCGTACAAGGCTTAGCACATCTTAGCAACCCCCCGCAGGAGTTAGCATTGCCAACCAGGGTTTCGCAGGACGTAGCAGGGCAGATCGTAGCATCGCACGCCATCTCATGACCAACCAGGGCCTGACATGACCGATCGTGGCCTATCAGAGCCCAGCAGGGCTGATCAGGGCCGAGCAGAGTTTAGCAGTGTCTAGCACAGCAAAGGCTGGCTCAGTAGAGATGGGCATGGCCCTGCAGAGCGTAGCAGGCCCCCGCAGGGATGCGCCAGGCTTAGCAGTGCGTCGCAAGCCTTCACAGGGCAACGCAATATTGAGCAAGGCTTAGCAGTGGTAGAGAATGCCTGGCTGAACACAACAGGGCATGGCGGAGCTTGGCAAAGCTTACCATGGCTCAGCAGACCCGAAGAGGGCGTTGCAGGCCATGGCTGGGCCAGGCATAGTTCAGCATAGCGTAGCAGGGCGTACCAGAGCCAGGGCTTAGCCTGACATTGCTCACCAAGCATTAGCAGTGGATTGGCAGCGCTGAGTTCCCCATGGCTTAAAAGGGTCCAGCAAGGCCGATCAGGGCCTGCAAGAGCAGGGCATGGGTTAGCATGGCAGATCCGAGCGTAGAAGGGCGGGGCAAGGCGTAAGCGAGCGCCGCAGGGCTTCGCAAGGCTTACAATGGCGTGGCACGCTTTACCAATGCCTAGCAGGAGATGGCATTGCATGTCGGGGCCGAGTTGGCCTTAGCATGCCCTAGGGGGCACCCCACACCCCACCTCCCCCCCCAAAAAAACAAAAAAAAACACCGCAACTTATCATGTGACGTAACAAACCCTTTCTATACATTTGGCGATTATACTCAGGACCACCCAGTGCTGACTGGCATTCAGAAGGACCCGCAGGGCGCAAGAAGAGCGCCCAGCAGTGATGTCAGAAGAGCGCAGCAAGCAAAGGCCCGGAAAATATACACAATGGAACACAGGGGCGTTGAAAGAAACGCGCCCAAAAAGTGTACACAAAAGGGCCTCCCAGGAGCCCACGAAAGTGGCGACAGTTGCGCAGATCGTAAACCCCCAAGGGGGCGGCGAGGTCGCGAGGTGGTCCGCGTGGGACGCACCGCCGCTGGGCCTTCCAGGAGCCCACGAAAGTGGCGACAGTTGCGCAGATCGCAAGCCACCCAAGGGCCGGCGAGGTACCGAGGTGGTCCGCGTGGGACGCACCTCCGCTGGGCCTCCCAGGAGCCCACGAAAGTGGCGACAGTTGCGCAGATCGCAAGCCACCCAGAGGGCGGTGAGGCACCGAGGTGGCCCGAGTGGGACGCACCTCCGCTGGGCCTCCCAGGAGCCCACGAAAGTGGCGACAGTTGCGCAGATCGCAAACCCCCCAAGGGGCGGCGAGGTACCGAGGTGGTCCGCGTAGGACGCACCTCCGCTGGGACTCCCAGGAGCCCACGAAAGTGGCGACAGTTGCGCAGATCGCAAGCCCCCCAGGGGGCGGCGAGGTACCGAGGTGGCCCGCGTGGGACGCACCTCCGCCGGGCCTCCCAGGAGCCCACGAAAGTGGCGACAGTTGCGCAGATCGCAAACCCCCCAGGGGGCGGCGAGGTACCGAGGTGGTCCGCGTGGGACGTACCTCCGCTGGGCCTCCCAGGAGCCCACGAAAGTGGCGACAGTTGCGCAGACCGCAAACACACCCAGGGGGCGGCGAGGTACTGAGGTGGTCCGCGTGGGACGTACCTCCACTGGGCCTCCCAAGAGCCCACGAAAGTGGCGACAGTTGCGCAGATCGCAAGCCCCCCAGGGGTTGGCGAGGTACCGAGATGGTCCGCGTGGGACGCACCTCCGCTGGGCCTCCCAGGAGCCCACGAAAGTGGCGACAGTTGCGCAGACCGCAAACCCCCCAAGGGGCGGCGAGGTACCGAGGTGGTCCGCGTAGGACGCACCTCCGCTGGGACTCCCAGGAGCCCACGAAAGTGGCGACAGTTGCGCAGATCGCAAGCCCCCCAGGGGGCGGCGAGGTACCGAGGTGGCCCGCGTGGGACGCACCTCCGTCGGGCCTCCCAGGAGCCCACGAAAGTGGCGACAGTTGCGCAGATCGCAAACCCCCCAGGGGGCGGCGAGGTACCGAGGTGGTCCGCGTGGGACGTACCTCCGCTGTGCCTCCCAGGAGCCCACGAAACTGGCGACAGTTGCGCAGACCGCAAACACACCCAGGGGGCGGCGAGGTACTGAGGTGGTCCGCGTGGGACGCACCTCCACTGGGCCTCCCAAGAGCCCACGAAAGTGGCGACAGTTGCGCAGATCGCAAGCCCCCCAAGGGGTTGGCGAGGTACCGAGATGGTCCGCGTGGGACGCACCTCCGCTGGGCCTCCCAGGAACCCGCGAAAGTGGCGACAGTTGCGCAGATCGCAAGCCCCCCAGGGGGCGGCGAGGTACTGAGGTGGTCCGCGTGGGACGTACCTCTGCTGGGCCTCCCAGGAGCCCACGAAAGTGGCGACAGTTGCGCAGACCGCAAGCCCCCCAGGGGGCGGCGAGGTACCGAAGTGGTCCGCGTGGGACGAACCCCCGCTGGGCCTCCCAGGAGCCCACGAAAGTGGCAGCAGTTGCGCAGATCGCAAACCCCCCAGGGGGAGGCCCAGGGGGCGGCGAGGTACCGAGGTGGCCCGAGTGGGACGCACCTCCGCTGGGCCTCCTGGGAGCCCACGAAAGCGGCGACAGTTGCGCAGATCGCAGACCCCCCAGGGGGCGGCGAGGTACTGAGGTGGCCCGCGTGGGACGTACCTCCGCTGGGCCTCCCAGGAGCCCACGAAAGTGGCGACAGTTGCGCGGACCGCAAGCCCCCCAGGGGGCGGCGAGGTACCGAGGTGGTCCGCGTGGGACGAACCCCCGCTGGGCCTGCCAGGAGCCCACGAAAGCGGCAGCAGTTGTGCAGATCGCAAACCCCCCAGGGGGAGGCCCAGCGGGCGGCGAGGTTCCGAGGTGTTCCGCGTGGGACGCACCTCCGCTGGGCATCCCAGGAGCCCGCGAAAGTGGCAACAGTTGCGCACCCCAGGGGGCGGCGAGGTACTGAAGTGGCCCGCGTGGGACGTACCTCAATGGCGGCCAGGAAGGCGGTGCAGCAGTAGCTCCGGCAGGCGTTCCTGGGCGACCCGCTGCTCGGGCTCTCCGAGGCACAGCAGCGGGCCATCACCCTCAAGATGGGCAGGGCGCAGGCCGAGGAGGAGGAGGAGAAGCGCGCCGACCTCCGCTCCAAGACGCTTCAGGATCTCCTCCAGCGGGTCAGGAAGCGCGAGAAGCAGGTGGTCAACACCACCGAACGCGTTCGCGAGGCGCGTGAGGCCGCAGATGCGGCGGCCAAGGCGCTGCGGGACGAGGAGTCGCCACTGGTTCGGCATCAAGCGTCCCTTTAGGAACTTAAGCAGATCGTCAAAGATAAGGAGATCGCGGAGGCAGTCCCAACGCTGGGAAAGACGGCCGCTACCCTCGGCTGGCTGGCGCCGACCAGGCGCCGGCTGTCATCCACCATCTGTCCGAGACGCAGTCGTAGTTCGAGGCCACGCCGGTGCTGGCAGCCTTCGACGGGCAGCTCCGCGCGAGCGCCCACGAGCAGCGGCAGGCGATCGTGCCGAAGCTAACTCGCGGAGGCAGAGGCCAAGCAGGCCGATGATCAGGATGCTGCTTCTGCCGCTCCTGCTGCTGGCGCGGGGGCTGGCGACGGCGCCGCCATGGCGGTCGACGGCGGCGGGTTCGACGTCGACCTCGACGACCCCGAGCTGGCACGCAAGTTCAACGAGGCTGGCCTCGGAGTTCGACCTCTCCCGCGAGGCCGACAGGGGAGAGGTCAAGAGGGCGCAGGCCGTGCTGTTCACCGCCGGCAAGAAGCCTGGCAATCGCGAGCACTGGCGGGCCGAATGTCGTGACATCTTCGTTGCGCCCGCGGGGGCTCACGAGCTGCACTGGCGTCGCGAGCAGTAACTCGCCGCGGGTCACTGACCTCGACGTCCTCACGGCGAACGCGACGGCCTGGCCTTCGGGCCAGGACCTGCTGGCGGGGCGCCTGGCCGCAGGCGCGGCGTCGGCGGCCCCGGGCATCCCGCGCGGGAGCAGCGGGGGCGGCGTCGGCGCGCCCACCGCGCCCCACGCGGTGCTGCCGCGGGAACACTGCCTCAAGGAGCCGCGCTCGGTTGACTCAGCCAGGAATTCGGCTTTGCAGGGCGGCCTGAACTCAGTCTTCGGCTGGGCGGAGTCCACAGGCGGCGAGGCGAACCAGCCGTCCAAAGGCGTTGCCGCGCCCACCCGGTTGCTGCCGCTGGGTGGCTTCGGCGCGCTGCAGGAGGCGCTGCCGCGAAGCCGGTCTCAGGTCGGGGTTGCGAGAACGGGCTTGGCAGCGCCGCTTTACTTCACCCGCCTTCACCTCGAGAGGCTCTTGGTGGGGCTCGCGGGCCTCAAAGGGCCATGGGCGGTGGGAGGTGACTGGAAACCGGAGCCCGCGCAGGCCCAGGAGTGGGCTCGTCTGGCCCAGGGCGTCGCGGTGGCGCTCGACAGCCCCACCTGCGGGGAGCGAGTGCTAGAATTCTTCGTGGTGCCACGCGTTCTGGGAAATTCACGCGCGGCGTGGACGTCGTGAACGGGACGGCCGTCCGCACGCAAGCGCCAATGATGCTGCGGCACCATGGGCTCCACGCGGAAGCCAAGGCATTGAGAGCGGCGCCCCCCGCGGCGCACCCCATCGTGCTGCAGCCGCCCACGCACCCGGCCCCGCTGGAGGTCGGCGACGGCGCGTGGCCGTGGGAGGCAGGCGGCCTCCCCGCCAACCTCCATGCCGGGACGCTGGCCTGGTTCCAGAGGTTACATCTCTTGCCTGCACAACTGCGGCAATCGCAAGGAGGGCCGCCGCCTTGGTCTCCGAGAGCAGCGGGCCCCCTCCGCCACCGAGTGGCAGAGTCAGCTCAAGGCGCAAACTCCTGCTGAGTACCGCTGCCGGGCTGGGCCGCTGGCGGCCTGCCAGCGCGCGCGCGCCCTGCTGACCGCGATGCGCAGAAAGAGGTGGCCGAGGTACTCGGCGCCCGACTGGCAGCCGAAGGTGATCAGCTCCCTCGTCATCGAAGACGGCCAGTGGGTGCAGTCGGGGGCTCTGGCCAACATGTCCGTGGACAAGCTGCTGAACGTGCTAGGCGGCGACTCGGCCTCCGCCTCGTCATATCTCACGCGGGCCATGGACGACCACGTTCTGAGGCTGCGGAGGCGGGGCCAGCATCAGCAGCGGGACCAGTGGCAGTCCTGTGCCAAGGAGGCGGCGTCCGCCACGGGGGGGCAGCGGGCCTTCGCATTCGCGCGGGCGGCGCAGGCGCGCCCCACCGTCATCGAGGCCCTCGACAACGAACAGGGCCTGGCCCGCCCGCTCGGAGGGGACGAGGCCATGGACTACCTCACGAGACAGCGGGGGCCGCTGCGGGACAACCCAGACCGAGCAGATGAGGCGCATCCCCAGGACTGGACGGGGCAGGAATTCGACGCCTCCAGCCTTCCGCCTCTGCAGGTGGCCGACCTGGACGCAGCCGTGAACAGGCACGGTGAGAGGGCTGGCTGGGGTGGGATCAGTTACACCCTGGCCGCTGCGCTGGCTGCCAGCTACAGGGAGCGGGAGCTTTCGCCCGACGAGAGCTCGTTTTGGCCAATGCTCGTTGCGTTATTGCTCAAGGCTGGGCCGGCGGGCGGAGCGAGGCCCATCATCCTCAATTGCATCTGGCCGCGGCTGCGGTCGAGGATGCATGAGCCGCTTGTCGCGGAGCGGGAACGGAGGCTGGAGGGAAGCCTCCACTAGGATGGCACGGACAGGACGTGCGACCGCGCTGGGCAGGCCCGCAACCTGCCGGCCGCCTTGCGCGCCCAGCAGGCCGACATGGCGGCGGGCAACCTGGCCCTAGACCGTTAAAACTATTACGAGTACGTCTCACACGACGTCCTGCTGAGGGAGGCGCGGGCCACGCACTTCCCGCTGCCGCTACTGAGGTTGCAGTGCTGCGCCTACCGTCTGCCGAGGCGCGCGAGGTTCGCAGGCGCCCTCGGCCTCGCTATCCGCGACAAGGGCACGATTGCCGCAGGATGCTCCCACGCCCTCGGGCTCGCGAAGTTGATGGTCCAAACCCTCCTGCTGGAGCAGGCACGGCGCTTCCCCTCGGTGAGGGAGCAGTCGCTGGTGGACGACCAGCGGCTGCAGGCGCTCCGCACTGTGGATCTGGTGGCCGCGCAGCTGCCCGCCGCCCTGGCTTTCTTGGTGGAAAGCCTGCATGCCCGTAAATTGATGGCCCACTGGAGCAAGACGAGCTGGCTCACGGCCAACAGCGAGCTCGCGGTCCGCCTCGGATCCGCCTGGGCTAGCGAGCTCGAGCGGAGACGAGGCCTGCGATGCCTCGGCGGCGACGGCGCTGACGGTGACAGGAGGTCCGTTGTCGAGCAGGACAAGCGCCTGGCCAAGGCGCGGGACGCGGCCGCCCGCGCCCATGCCCTTCGGGGAGCTGGCGCGGCAGTTGAGCGCATTCACCACGGCTCCCCAACCGCCTCTGCGATTCGGGGCTCGGCCGTCACGGGGCTTGCTGATCACGAGCTGCACGGGCTGCGAGTCGGCGCTCTACGTTCGGAAGGCCAGCCCCCTGCTGGCGCGAACGTAAGACTCAGGCTGCGCTCGATGCACATGGCCTTGTGGAGGGCCCCCGCCGTGGTCGACGTTGACGAGGTCATCCATGCTTGGGCCATGTGTGTCGAGACCTCCCCCCCCCCTCCCTCCATCTCAGTCTTCGATGCTGTGCTGGAGCAGTCTCGTGGCATCCTGCAGTCTAGAGACCCATGGAGTCAGTGCACTAACCCTGCACAGGTCCTCCACCTCGTTCTTGCCAAAGTGGGAGCCAGCACGAGGCCAGCCACGGAGCTCATCGGGCCCGACGGAGAGGTGGTAAACCTCAAGTTTTTCTCTCCTGGTGGGGCGGTGGCAGCTGCGAAGTCCATGGCAGCGGCTGCCAACGATGTTCGGTCCATCAATAAATATAACTGCTGAGGTTATCTTCGGGAAATCAAGTTGTGGGCCCAGCGGGCATGGTAGGAACCTGGTTCGCAGCCTGCTTTCGGGGACCCATTGGCCTCAGGAGCGTCTGCGCCGTCACGGTCGGTCAGTGTCTGATTTGTGCACTATATGTGGCTGCCCAGGCACTCTTTTTCACAGGGGGGTCGATTGCCCGCGCGCTGCCTCAGGCGCACGAACATGCCGACATCGCTCTATGTCGCTGCCTGTCGCGTGAGCAAGTTGGGCGCTAACGAGGCCGAGCTTTTTTCGCGTTGTCTTTTTCCTTCCCCTGAGCTTTGTTTCGGCTGGCCAGAGGCTCCGGAGGAGCACTGGGTCAGGTTTGTTGGCGCCCATCCTGGGTCGCTCTGGGGGGGCCCGTCTTTGTGGACGGATCGGCCTTCAGCACCAAGCACGGTTCATACAGACGTGCGGGCTGGGCTGCGGTGCAAGTAGATCAGGCGGGCAATTTTGTGGCCTGTATGTAGGGTGTGGTTCCGAGGGCTTGGGGCCCTGAGCAGTGGGCGCGGGACGGGGAGGATTACGCGTTTCACATGCTTGCTCGTTTTTCAAAGCCTCCGTCTGAAGGAGATTCTGGGATGCCGCTCGAAGTGTTCAGCGATTGCGCCGGCTCCGTGAGCTGCGCCACGGATTTGGCCAAGCTCTGGATCTTCGGAATGGGCGGGAAGCTTTGGTGGGACAAGGTAGGTTCTTCCGCATCTGTCGTAAAGGTCAAGCCACGCCACGTCTTTGGGAGATTTGTGTAAGCTTCGCGGTAATCGCCTCGCGGATGAGTGGGCGAAAAAAGGGGCTCGGCTTTGGGATATGCCTCTGGAGCAGGAAGTCTTTGTGGAGGCTTGCGAGCGTAGGGCGGAGGACGCTGCCGTGTGGATGGGAAAGCTCCATGAGTGGCTTCACCAGGCAGGCCTCCAGGACACAGACGGCGTCAGCGGAACGGCCGATGTCGTTCTTGACCTCGATTTCGATGCTTCGAGCCTCGGGCCAGAC